TACAACGAAAATGGAGAAAATTCAAATCCATCTGAAAATAAAACGATCACTCAGGAAAATTCTATTAATGCAATTGATACTAACAATGAAATTATGGAAAGTATACAAGCTATCATGTCGAACGAAATCAGTGGAACAGATGTTTTCTTCGTTCAGAATCCGAAAGTAAACGATAAGAATGAGTGTTTCACACAGAAATTAAATCATAATTATATAAAACAAATAAGTGAAATTAATGACAATAACATTAGAAGTAATGGAATGAATACTGGCTTGAGACCCCCCAATGCTGACTGCCTTGATTCGGATACGGATGATTTAAATAAGGGGAGCTTAGGCACGTTGCCGATTATTTCGACGATAAGTGATGAGTTACGAGATGAAACTTTCGTTAGCCGATGTGAAAACGACGCTGAAACGCGGGAATGCTTCACTGCTGTAGCTGATCACAATAGCGAAAATGAAAATGTTAGAAATCATGGCGATGACGGTAATGAGTTAATAAAGGATCAGGTAAACAGCGAAAAAGAGATGTTTGCTGATAAGTCAACTCCGTTTCCCGAAAAGGTAGATGATGGTAAGTATAACTTTATTTAAATTGGTTGATGTTAACACAAAAATAACGCATAAAATACATTTTTTCTATCTGAGAAGATATGAATGCATTTCACTTCGGGGAATCGTGATAAAAGGTGATGTATTGACTAGGGATTTTTTTATTTTAAAGTACACGTTGCCTTGAAGAACGAAAGTCGACGAAAACATAAGGTTTTTAAAATATATTATAAATGGGTACAGAACAGGAATATAGTTGAAAACTGATAAAAATGATCGTTTAGGAGGAACTAGTTTTTTAAAGAAGACATTTCCACTTGATAGAGCAACCAATCCGGCAATATATATATAATTATGCATCTTTTACTTGCTAGTGGTACTTTTATACCTATGAAGGACCAGAGACCTCACAATATATATATTCTTGATCAGCATCAAATTTTAAATCAAATGTCTGTTTTAAACATTGTGTTGTCTACAAAAATGAAGCTGTCGACTTCAAATTTGGCAGAAACATTGGAAGTTTTGCACCCGGGTTTTTGGCATTGAAAGTAGGCCAAATCGGTCAAAGGACGTGCCGGCAAACACCACGCAAACTGAGAAAATCTCTGTTTAAATTCCTGGTGTATTTCAAACCTTCAAATACAACTAAACATGTCCGTCTGTATGCGCAACTGCGTAGTATTTGTGGTCAGGTCAGCATTCTCCTGTTAGCGAAAATGGAGATTTCGCCTACGCAAAGATTAAGTCCACAATCTATCGTTATATCGAAGTATGTAAGGTCTTCGGCAGTCTGTTAATTTGGACTAAACCTTAGAGAAAACCCCGAAAGGCTTGACGCATCGTAAATCACAAAGTAAGGGTAAAAACATAACTAAGTTTGCAAATGCACTTTAGATCAAAGACTTCAATAATATGCTAAAAAGGAAAAAGATAGAAAGTTGTATTAAAGCGATAAGGATCAGCATTTTAAAATATTGACCGTAATATAAAACAATTAGAAACCAAACTGTAAAGCAGTACAAAAAAAGGCAAAATACAAAGATTTAAATAATAAAATAAAGCAGGCTATGAACAGCGAACTTAGTCGATAGCAAGATTGAAGTTGTGGGTTAGTCGGTGATAATTGACAAAGTCGAGAACCCGAATAACAAAATAATTACCAATAGAGTTCAGTAGTTTTCCGAAATGTTGAAACAATATCGCACAAACGCCAATACACAAGTTATTTACACCATACAATGTGGGCCAAATTGATGGTGAAGCAATCAATTTCAATGGACAATGGACGTGTTAGTTTAAATTGCAACAAGTCAAAGCAATGTAGTGGCCGACTACCCCCGCCATATCATGGAAGGGCTTTTCATAATGAGGTATTATATGAGAAATGGTCGAAGAAGATCAACATATCTGAGCGCAAGAAAACAAGCCGGACCAGGCGGCTTAAACCGACCGATAGAGAAAGTGATTGTGTGTGTAATTCCGCGACCACTATAATAAAAAAAGATTGAATCATCGGAATAATAAAAATGGTGTGTTTAGCTCAAGTCCGTCTGAGTATTGCACACTTAATATACGTACGTATCACAAATGATGCCGGGTACAAAAAGTACTTATCTTAGTAAAGTGATAAAAGTTGAAGAATAAATCTATTTCAAAATAAAATATTGATTGCATAATTATGCTCGAGATAAGGCACACAGTCATACTTGCTGAACATACAAAAAGAATAACAAAATGTAATGAGTTCCGCCCAAAATATAGATAGATATTAGGCCGCTGTCAATTGGTTATGAAAAGGTTTTTCATTGGCTCATCAAATGCTTTGAAAGCGGCTCTGGAATACATGGAAACAAGTTTCAGGCATCTTCTAAAGCATCCCGAAACCACTGCAAGAATCAAACGAATTCGTGCTAAGAAATTGCAGCCTAATATCGTATACCTATTGATTTCTCGCTTCTTACTTCAGTAGAGTAATAGATGTTTTTACAGTGATTCCATTAAGAAGACAACAGCTAAGTAAATATGAGGTTAAAAATGATTTGAAAAGTCTCTGCCAAGTTTCCAAGTAAAATAAAGAGATTTTTTAAGTAACTTGGATATACGTGAAATAAATATATATTTAGAGATATACGTATAAACCCCAAAAAATCATATCTATTTGATTTCCTCTATATAGTTCTCCAAGCGTCGATCGATTTCCGTTTTCTACATTAGTTGAGGACGCAAGTAAAGTTGATTCGACCAATGAATTAACAGCACCGCAAGACGAAGATATAACTCCTTTATCGTCTTTGCAAAGTGAAAGTAGATGCCAGAAAAAAATATGTGAAAATATCATTCGCCCGATTATGAATGATTTTCAGTCAACATTGAAACTACAACAACAAGAACGACAGCAGGAGCAGCAGCAGGAGGAGGAGGTTGAGGATAAGCAGCAGCAGCAGCAGCAGCAAATGCAACATCCAAGTTTATCAAGCAATATAACCGCACAAATGAATTCATTTTACGCTAGATGGGAAAATTTAAATGAAAACAATTCTATGATGTTGGCGAGATTTTTTGGTATAACCTGTTTGCCTTTCCTCACGGGCAATTGCACTTTGAATGAACGTTGTCGACTATCCCATGTATTCTATTCGAATTCTTATCTGCGTTCGAATTTGCATCACCTTACGAAATATGCTTTGGATAAAGTCTACAAATTCATGTATAATTATGAACAACTATCGAAATTATATTTTATGGAATTCTGTGCACTTTATGTGGAACGCCGCAATTTCAGGAAGCTTTTAAATATGATTAACGACTATCAACGTTACCCAATGCATTCGGATTGTTTGTTCGCGTTATACGATGGTTTGATAATTTGTGGTTTAGATAAGAAATTTATTTGCGAATCATTTTTAAATTTGATTCACGACGAATCTCCAATCATAAAGAATGTTTTACTCGGTATTATAGCAAAATCAGATTGGACCAATTTTGCAAATTATTTAAATCATTTTACTGAGCAGAATCCGTTTTACAATTTCCCCCCCCATCTATATTAGAATATATGGCACCGGCTTTGCTTAGGAATCCAGTTCGTGAACTGAAACAGATTTTTGCAAAATGTGTGCACATGATACATCAGAACGAATTAGCTGCCATTAACAATATGCCCAATTTGCTGCTATGTCTGAAACTGCTAGCTAATGACGCTTAATCAACTAACAAAATATTCCTACAAAAAATATTTGGATTTTATTTTTTTTTTTTTCAAATATTATTCGTATTTAATTATGCATGAATATGACTAAAAAAAAAAATTTTACAAATCATTTTTCTATTCCTTTTGATTTTTTGATAAGCTTTCCAAATTCTAACAACATTTACAACATTTGAATGAATCTTCAAAATTAAATATTTTAATTTTAATAAAGGCGATGAATTGAAAATGTATTTAAAATGGCATTTTAAATGTTGGAAAAACATTGGGTATGTTTTGGCTCACGATTCCTCGCGTTTCTCGTTAACTGGGCACGCAATCTATTATTATTATTATTGCTTGGTGCATTATAAAAAATGGGAGAGAAATAAAGAGCAAACATGAAGAATGAAAAGTGAAAAGTGAAAGATAAAATTATCGTTCGTGATCGTGTAACGTATTTAATATTAATACTTTGCAAAGCTTTAAATTTTATATATATGTATATATCATGAGAATGACAAATTTTGTATTAGTTATTCTGTTTTTTTTTTTTTACCTTTAAGAATGTCTCGAATTTTGCTGAAAGACTCCAAAATCCTAGGCTGATTTAATTTTAACGATTTTGACATTTTTTCGTTTTATATATCAATTGGTTTTTTTTCTTTTTTTGTTACAGATTTACAATTCATAAAATTAATAGATCTCCATCAATATTCGAATTTTCTGGCTATTTTGTGAATTTACTCATACATATCGTTGTTCGTTCAGCAACTCCATCACCTCAACTGCCAAAATTTTCCTTTTTCTATTCCCCAGGAATACTCAAATTTTCTTTTTTTTTTTTTTTGAGATTTTTCTGATGTACGAAAACTTGACAAAAAAAATCTCTACTTGTACAAATTGTGTTGTTCCAAATAACTAAATTACTACTTTTCATGGAAATAGATGTACATATCGGGTACTTGTAATCTTCGAATCAAATATATTTTATTTTCTTTAAAAGATTTCTTTAAATTTTTATATTTGTCAATCAAATATCAAGCCGATCACTTTGTATACACTAGGAATAAATATATAACAACTCGTTCGTACTTCTAGTATTAACAGTGGATTGTGAAAATTCTAAACACTCATTCTCGTCATTTACTTTCGGACTCTAAGTGGAGAAAACATCTGTCCCACTCAAATCGTTTTATTTTCAGATGGATTTGAATTTTCTCCATTTTCGTTGTA